TATAGACCATACGTTGTGGATTTCCGCTTAAGTACACGATTCGAAGCCTTCAAAAATGTTATTTACCGACCTCCACCCTTTTTCCCACTACTTTTTTCTAGAGAACTCCGACGGATCCCTAGCAAATCAATAAATACTATTTACATGACCCGCTTTTCACATCTACTCTGTGGATCCCAGCACTTCTTGAATTCGATCCGTTTCCTTGCATCGATTTCCCACAAACGTCTTCGCATTTTTCGCTGGGAATTCGGTTGCTGCTCGAGGTTTATCGCACACCTCATGCATGTCGCTGAATTCTCGTCTAGTCGATTCTTCCTTGAGCCCTGAAATAACTGGGCTAGCGTGTTACCACTTGGACTGCAGAGAATAAACTTTTCTTAGAGAAGTCTGGTTCAACTCAGCCAACCCCGGAGGGATAAGAGGCTTGGTGAGTCCGGCAGAATGTCGAACTAGCATTATGCATGTTATAATCGGCATCACTAGCACTGTTCTCCCAGCCCCAATCAACAAATCAATAAACTACTCATTTTTAAATGTATAGAATAGCTATTCATAAAGACGAAGACAGAATCAACGATGGAGTTGTAAGAAATGGAATTAACATATAAATGAACCCATAGAAAGAGACCCTGAAAGGTTTTCACATAGGAATTAATCTATTATGATCGCTGGAGTTAAAATGTGGGATGCAGCTAAAAAAGAAAGCAAAAGTAAAAGACCGTAGCGATACAGAAAGTCGTCTAATATGGTGAACTGATGAAGTAAAAAATACTTCTAAGCTATAACCTTGGTTAAAGGTTAAGTACATAATCAATGGACACTGAATGTGTTTAGTTGGATAAAGGTAAAGGTTGAGTAGATAAAGATCGAGCAAATGTAGAAATTTACTGTAGCATGAAAAAGAAGAGCTGATGAAGAGGAAAAGGAGAAAAAATGAAAAAAGGTACTGTAGGGAATAATTGCGGGACAAGTCGTTGACCGTATGGCTGATTTACTCTGATTCATCTGCCACATTAATTCTATGGGCACCCAAAATGTATTCCAGGTTTTCTTCCAGATAGCTCCAAAATCGAATTTTTCGTTCAAAGCTGCTCATCTTTTATCCAAAATCTTCAGCTGTAATGAAGAACATTCCATGAATAGCAAACGATAATCGAGATGTCGAGCACTGAACAACTTCTGAGAGGCTGAAATTCTTGAGAGGTAATAGGCTCGCTAAAGCTATGTCGGAAAGTTTCTTCACACGGACATCAGCAGAACACCATCAAGGATCGATTAGACGTTGAGAGGTTTTTTTAAGCAGAATTTTATGGTTGTCATGGGATTGCGACTGATTGTGTCGCTATTTCACAAAGACGAACATAGAGACGAAAACGCCATATTTACAAGACGAGCGACTGTGGACCATCGACTCGGAACACCGGATCTGCTCCGATAAAGATGAAGACGCCACACTGAGAAGTATAACAGTGGACCACCGACTCGGATCATAGGCTCTGTTGAGGATGAAGAAGTTAAAATGTTAACCGAGTAAAATTTATATAACAACATAGTGCAATCTCAACAATTTGAACATATAGATCGTTATTGTTGTTGTTGTTGTTGAAGCGTGTGTGTGTGTGTGTTTGTGTGTGAACAAATTAAATCCTACGAACCACCATGGCAACCAGCGCATTTCGTAGTTCTGTCGGGTTGTCAGATGAAATAATTGATTATGTGCTAATTTTAGATTTACATGGGAAGACATACATTAAAAATTCGACATACGGCGAGTGTTTCAAGAAAACTTCGTAAAAAACTGTCTTGTTAACCGATAAAAAGTCCTCTATGGGAATATTTTGATTCGTGAAGAAAAAATAATTCTGAAACATTCATAAAGAAAATATACTGAGAGGAATAAAAGCTAAACAGCTTTTATAAAGCTCTCAACGTTGATTAGTTCCTGGGGGATGCGCCATGCATTCTACTCTATAAAGCATTGTTGGAGGTGACTGAATGGATACTAGCCCTTACAATGACATGTGGTGGCTTATCGATGTATCGAGCCAGTGCTGCCATCCTCCTAGAGAAGTCTGGTACCAATTTCCCGACCGCTGAGGGACGGAGGGCTTGGTGAGCTTTGGGTGTGGATGCGGGGTCCATCCTATTTGTATTGCAGGGCGCCCCCGACCACTGCGCTACAGGCGCCCTTTGGAAGACACGTCCTTAAATGAAAAAACACATAAAGAGTAAGGCTCCCACACACTTTGCATATAAAATATGTTCAGCAAAATCGATATGAGTAGACTTTATAAAATAGATGTATTAGAAAAAATACCAAATTCTCCTTAAGTAATTTTAGTGCGTGGCAAATCCCTCTGTAATCCACAAAGGCTGTGACAGCTTGTGATGATGAAGACCCGGGGTAAACTTTTGCCACGCTGTCCTACGAATCCACAGAACCACAATGGCTTAATCAGCAAATTTCCGAAAGATGGAGATTATGCTGCGGCCCGCACAAGCAGTGAGGACGGGCCATTCAAGTGTCAAGTAACAAGTAATTTTAGTGCACAAAATTTTGCTCCTTCAGAAAGATTTAGATCTCTATTCTAGACGATCGTTAGTTAAGTCTTCCTTAGTTCTCTATTTTTCTAGAGTAGTTCATCAAAGAGAACATTACAGACCAGCATTTTTTATAACAAAGAGTCAAAATAAACTCCCTTGATCTCAAAATAATCCTTAAAATTTCCACCCATATGATGTATGTAAGCAATATTAACTAGTAAAGTAAATATTGACTTTCAACGTAAAGTTCTCCTTTCCTGAAGAAAAGACAGGATACCCAGGGGTGGTCTTAGCACTACTGCCTTGAGATCCCAAGTAAGAATGTGTGGAGTCGATGCTATCCTTGAAGAAGTGGTCAGGTGGAAAAATAGCCAAACATTCGTAACGGTTGTTGACTCCATGAGGTGAAGACTCGGCATGGAAACGCTCTATCATGACTTCTATGGGATTCAAGGAAAACCTTAGCTTGACCGATATTCAACATCTCAACGAGCAGCTAAGACGACGGATCCCTTGCTCGAAGTTAAGGTCACGCACGAATCTGAACACACTATGGAGAACGATTTCAGCACAAGGTAATGAACTTGCCAACGACCAGAAAATGCACATTATGTGATGACGGACCGGTCCGTAATTGGTGCAATTACCTTGTAGGCTATGAAACTGTTCACAAGAGAAGTAGTAAAAAGAGATACCACCATAACGAAGTCGCTATGCACAAAGGGAAAGATACAAGAACATGGCCAAATTATAGACGCTCCTGAGGGACGTCGTTAGATTCTCCAATGGTATATCGCCTCGTCAAAATTACTTGGTCCATCGCCCAGAACGGAATACAAAAGTTCGTCTTCCATAATATCGGAGTGAAATCTGATAACTACCGATGAGGACTGTGACTACCGATGGGAGTTGAACACGCCACAGAGCAGCGCATGGTACGACTACGTTAACCTGTTAGCTTAACCGAAGTTAACAGGTTAACGTAATCGTACCATGCGCTGCTCTGTGGCGTGTTCAACTCCCATCGGTAGTCACAATCTCTTTTGAATACTCTTCTTCCTATTGATGAAGCACCATGGATTTGTAAGTCCTGCCTCTCATAGAGTAGTCGTGATCAGTCTTTGTGTAGGACGTCCCACTGGACCTCACTTTAGATTCGCCCATTAGGTTTAGGTGCCGATCGATGGTGATGTGGGCGAAATGGAACGCTCCCAGAAGTAACCGTTTGTGGACGCGCTCAAACCATAAACGAACTGTTACCTCTTAGTAGTACCTTGATCAAACCTCCATGAATATCGTCGACACGATAGTGCAGACTGGCTGCCTGTATAGCATGTATAACTGCCTGAGTTTGTCCACTCCAACTTGATATTACTTCGCTGTGCGCGTTCCCTTTCTAACTCTTCCTCTAGAATGCTCCAGAACATACTCCAACAATATGGCAACCCTTTCGAACGTGAAAAAAGTATTTTGAATTAGAAGTGGTGCTTCGATCTAATACAGCATCATCCAAAAGGTAATGAGAAACAAAACCAGACTCCAAGCGCATATCTTTAACTCATTGATTCCATCCAGACCTAAAGTGTGCCTCGCAATCATGGGTGCTACACGAGTAAAATGAATTCATGGAACGAAGAGCTGTGAGCCTCACGCTGAACGCACCAAGTTCTGACACAAGACAGGATCCAAAGTTTCCAAATACATGACGCAAAAATCCGGTACTCTTGCACGTATGTCAAATTGTTCGAAATCACATGGCTGGAAACGCTATAAGCATGAACGGACGACACCCACTGGACTCCAGTGATATGGTTCTGCAGAATGTCAACCACCGAAACCATGTCCACAGACTCCAGGTCCAACTTTTCACGAAAATCCCTCTTGCTGAAAAATCCAGATAGTTGACAGAAATACCAACCAACAGGGCTATGTTCACAGACTCGAGGCCTTTCTCACGCAAACCCTCCCCCCAAGAAACTCAGATACTTGACAGAAATAAATGAAGGTCTTATGAACCTCTCAATAACTACACTACTATACGAAACGAGGATTTCTACAGGTTATAGGTAGAAAGTGTCAACACTGATGCAAATGTGGCACCAGTTATAGTACAAGTTTCACCATCAAGCATGTTCTATGCTGACAACTCGGAAACTTACAGTGGTCCAGCACAAGGATTACCTCGAGATTGAAACTGCTTTTCAAGAATGAAATTGCATGAATACACCATACAATCATACAGAAAAAATTTTGACAACAGATAAAGGAAAATTCTAAGGCGAAAATAACATCTTCATCGAACACCAATCCACAGCAACCGAATGCCTCTTCCAACAATACACAGAAGCACAGTATAAGTTAAAAAAGCAGAATACGAAGTCATTATGGTTGAACTACAAATCCCATATGCTTATCACTTGCTTTCAACAAACTATCACAATTCTGTTAGTGAATTAAGCGGCAACAAGTTCATCAAATAAATTTTCCTTCGCCTTCAGATCCTTCACCCACGGATGATTTGGATTAATATCACGCAGTTGAGAAATATATCGCTTCATTACCTGAATTTTCCTTATAACACTATCAAAGGCCTCATTTTGTAGATGCCAATTTCCAAGCCAAACCACCACCGTACCTCGCTGTCTTTTCCAAGGAACTGGCTAAGTGCAACTAGGTTCACAAGAGCTTCACAATTGTTGGCATCTCGTAATTGAGCCTCCTGAATTGGGGGATTTAAACCTCGACGAGTTCGTAGGTTCTTAAGAGAATAATTTACATTTATAGGACATACGTGTAACAAAGCCTCAGCATCTTTATATTTCCCCTGGAGAATGAGAACGGCAGACTGACAGATAAGAAGTCTCGGACTTTGGCCATACTTGTCTATCATTTCTTGATAAATATAGTAGGCATCTTTTAATTTATCCTTGCCCTGAAACGAAATGTGAGACGAATATTACTAGTAGAAATTATATGGGAGCTTGGGAAAAAGTGTTTAAAAGATAGAAAATTACTAAAGGAGGTGCAAAGAAATTGGGAAATGAATCTAACCAACCACAGTCATATTAACCCATGCAAGGGCGAGCTGTGTCAAGGTGGCATCTTCGTCAATGTCATTCATCTTTTTCAATTCCTTCCTGGAACTCTGTTTTTTTAAACATATTCATTCGATTTCATCAATAAATCCAAGAAAAACCCACGCAGCCAAATCAACACGGTCCATTTGAAGTAAAGTGAAGACCGTGGCAGAATGAGCTTCTAGTGAGTCACTCTTTGATAAAATACGCATTGCATCATCTGGATTCTGCAAAAAATAAATATTACGAACAGAAGGCAAAGTATTTAATGCATTCGAAAAATACAATCTAAATATTGTACACTCGGCGATGTCTCCGTAACTTTTTCAAACAGGTCCTATTGCCGCTCAGAACGAGCCTTTCCTTCCACAACTACGTGCTTTGAAATATTATAGAGCCATTATATCCTTCCATACTCATGCAGCCTTCAAATTTCAAACAATGATTCGCATGGATATAGATATATTTAGCTATTTATAGCTATAGATATGACCATTTGGAGGCGCGCGCAGCGCAGTGATCGGAGACGCCACTGCGACACACACGTGGAGTCGATCCCAGCGCCCATGACTCACCAAGTCTTCCATCCCTCCGGGGTCGGCAAATCGATACCGGGCTTGTCTGGGCGGATAGCAGCGCTGACTCGATACATCGGGCCACTACGAGTCATTGTAAAGATATGCATTCATTCACCTATAACGATGCTTAATGAAGTCGAATGCAGGGTGCATGCCTCGGGTAATGATCAACATTGAGGACTTTGTCCTTTTATCCTTTACATGTATATTTGTCATCGCAGTTCACACAGATGTTTCTTATATTCCATGACGATGATGTCGGTAAGTCTAGAAATCGATCTTTACCAAAAATTGTGTTTTGAGGTTGCACCATTCATCCATAGTATTCTAAATATTCTAAAGAGGACGGTATTGTAGACTATTACGCTCATTCAACTGTACCAAGTGAATGCTAGAAAGCTTCTACTATATGCTGCTTTATCTATCGATGTGACCGATTTTCTTCATTCTATCGAAAGTGTTGAGCACTTCACAACATGCTCTGAGTGAAAGCTTTGATGTTGACACTGCCAGTTTCTCCTCGTATTCTTTGTGTTTCCACATGATGTCAAACCATCTCAACTACAGCACGTTTCTCATCTTCAATCTTTTCCAATCCTGCGCTTCAAGGCACATGAGTTTCTCCGTTGGAGAGATGGATTTCCAGGACGACTAGGTCAACGCAACACCGATAACAGTTGTCTTAAAAGGTGCCTATTCACTTCAACGTTTCAGGTTGTTGAAGTCTTTATTCTCGAGCTCGCTGTTTCCTGCACTTGCTTAATATAATCAAATTTAACCATTTAGGCTACTTTCTGGCACCGTCACACGATGAAATTAATGGAGATTTTCGTTATGACCAAATATTGCCAGGGGTTCTACCTTAATTAAAAGGTTGCAACAGAAGAATTAATATGACGGTGCTTCTCTGAGGACGAGCCGTAGTGAGATAAAATGTCCGCGGAATAGTCGAACGCCTGTTATATCTTTCATGTGAATCACAACGTTTTTCCATGCGTATAACTCCATAACTCAGTTTGGTACATCTATGTAACGATGATTATGCTACAATTTAATCCGGACACGCCTATTTCCAAAATTTGTCCCCCTAGTAAGCCATTTCTATCCCTCAACAAAATAAGATACAAGTAGCCAAAGTGAGGTAATGTTTCTGTAAAAACACATACGTTCTCTTCGTTCAAAATCAAGGCAGCTACAATGTATGAAGTGTCATCAGTAGGGCTTGTCCCTTCAGAAACTTCCTCTTGGATTTGTTTCGCGATGCGCTGCCTAAACAAGACTCTAACAGACTTAAATTACTGTTCAGTATTCTTGCGTGAAAGAACGAGTTACAACTGAATGGTAAAAAGCTCTAAAACGAACTTATCGGCTGCATTCTGGTACTCGGCAAGGCGGCGTACTGCCTTCAAGGATGGATTGTCAGTACGCTCCGAAATCTCGTTCAGCACCAGGGAAGCCTTCCCTTGAGCAATGTATGAACGATACATGAACACATCTTTGGCAACCTTCTCCTCTTCAACCTTAGTGTTTAGTTTCTGAAGGGAAAAAATCTCAAAAGGTATTTAAAAACCATCGTGCCCAATTTTATAGAAAGCCAATAAACTAGATGCAGAGGAATTTTGAACTAGTGGAGAGCCATAGAAAGGAAAAGGATCGTGACACCCATCGCTGATACATTTGACATTTCTCGCCACTGTCCGTATAGATGATTGCACTAGATTAATATTTAAAAGGGTAAGATTCAAGTAATCAGGAAGGAATTCATTATGGAAACAATCCAGAAATCTGCAGGTCGACCGAAATAATTGACTTGGCGATAATATTATACAAAGCGGTATGATATACTTGGCATAGACACTAACACTTACTTACTTGGAAACGGATGGCCGCCTTCATTGGTTGTGTGAGCCCCAGCATAGGTCCCATTTTTTCGAAGTTTTGCTGGTTAATCCACTGTGGTTCCCTGGAATTCCGAGGTCAGCCAAAGTCTGCCCCAGGTCGCCACAGCCGCAAGCAGCCCTCGTGGATCAGAGGGATATGGAGATTTCCTACCACGCGATTAGTTCGATAACAGAACGGTGGTGGTCTCTGGCATGCTCTTAGCTGAACTTCCTAATGGAAACGCCAGACTCCTTCTCAGCTTGGGAGACTATGGTGTGGAGATGAATCTCCGTTGCACATCGCAGCGACAACCAGGAACATCTTCCAGCCATGATGAAGCGGTAAACCATTGGAAGGGACGCTAACACTGCCTTTTACAAATAGCTACTTGTTCATACATTAGTTTAAATTACTGGGAAAAATGTTTGCTTCTCGCATAAAATTACTGCTACTGTTTAAGTCCCGAGTAATGTTTCAGAAAAGCCACTTGGAAAACATAGCGATATTCTGCGACAAGGAAAGAACAAATGGAAGCAAAACCCTAGACAATGAGCTAAATATAAGCACGTAAAGAACAAGAAACATAAAAAGGAAGAAAACGACGAACCTGTGCCTCGAGAATGCATTGCTGGTACTGTCCGAGAAAGAACAAGTTCTTCACATCGAACAAACGATCAACCCCAGACATACCTAAGGACTTCCACGGACCTTATAACCTTATAATGGAAATTGACTTCAAACAAATTCTGCTGAAAGACACGGTGATGGCGAAAACTCGCAACAACTTCGCTCTGAGCTATGTTCAAGGCCGACTCGCTAACGACGACGACACGTTGGTGGTAGGTGTACTCGTCCTCGCACACTATAGACCGCAAATGCACAAATCCTGGATGACAATAACCACGTGGATAACCCGTTTGAATGAATACTCGTATCCTGACCCACTACCCTCTTACAAGATGGTTACACCCTTGTTATATCTCCTATAGCTAGCATAAATTCTTGGATTATTCCAGAATGGATCTTTTCGTGCAGCTGATTGACTTTTGTGACTGTGCAAGATTACATTAAAACTGGTTTATTTCAATTTGTACAAAGCTTCATAGCGCAGACTCGGGTTAACAGCGGTCCTTATTATGAATTTTAATGAATAGTAGATGTTAATAAACAGAATATTTGCAATACTGACATATCAATCAATTCATAACACAAATCAACAACACGTCTCCCAAGACATTGAACTCCAAGAACCTAGAAACTTGAACTTAATAGTTGGTGCAGTAAAATTCATAAATAGTTCACTACATTTAATAAACGTAACGAGGAACTATAACAGGGATTTATGAGGGTCAAATTCACCACGAAACTTGAGAAACGAAAGACCGTTTATACTTACTCTAGTGATACTTCATTACGGATTTTGAGAACAACGGCAGTGTCTTCATACATTTTGTTCCCTCGCTGCAGTCGTGCATTGAAGTACTTCGCTCTCGTGAACGGTAACGATGCTCGTGGAAGACTGCAATTCGGATTTATCAACTGAAAAAGAGGGATTTTCCGAGCAATTCTGGACTTCTTCAGCATCTGGTTCATTGTCTTTGGGCGTGTCCTTTTTAGTATGAAAGTCATGGAGTAGAAATTCTGAAGTACTATCATCATTCACTTCTTTCCTCTTTAGGGGACGAGGATTATTTTCCAGATCCTCACTGAGTAGCATCTTTGCACGTAGGAGTCGATGGCTGGACCCTGTAAATACAGATGGTACCAGTGAGACGTTAAAGAGGCAGGACCGTCTATTTACGAGGATGTGATCGATCTCTGCTCGGACACTACCGTCAAGCGATCCCCATGTCCACCGGGTGTTTTTTTTTCTGAAAAAACGAATTCCCATGAATAAGCTTTGTTCTAGATATGAGAGTGACGAGACGCTTTCCATTTTCATTCCGATTCCCTACACCAAATTTCCCGACTCTGTATTCTCGTTCAGTGCCCTTTCCTACTATAGCATCAAAGCTCCCAACAACAAATTTATAGACGCAGTTTCCTTCATCGATCACATACTCTAATTGACCATAAAAGGCGTCTAATTCGTCCTTGTAAGCCGTAGAGGAAGGTGAGAAACAACTGACGATACTCACTTTCTTTCCATTTAACGTTCTAAAGCGAAGAATAGCTACGCGAGGTGACAAGATAGCGTGGGAGATAATATGAGGGGTAACGGATGGGTGCACAATGAAGCCGACGCCACCGACATTTTGTGTTGGCACCCTGCCTCCAAGGATAACAGGAGTCCCGTCGTCAACTTGACGTACGAGGCCCCAACAGGACCTGGTGTTTTGTAGCGCAATCACGTGGAACTTAATACGACGTATGGCCTCAAGCAGAGCGTGAAGATCGCCATATGAGGCTACTATCTTGTTATAGCTGCAAAGGTGGAAACAATCAGCATGGCGTGTACTGGATGTATTGTTTTGGTCCAAGTCTAACGACGTCCCCTGTTGCTCGAGGCTTGGTGTCATCTCGACGTAAGTACCAGTGGCCGACGTCGTGGGTGGAAGAAGCACCGATGCAGTAGCAGGCTCAGATTGCTTGTATTCGCTCGTTATGCGTACTTTTTTCCACGAGTCATGGGTTTATCCCACAATAGAAGCTGTATTACGATTGATTCAGGCAATCAAGTGGGCGTTGCCTAGTTAGAGCACCTAAAACGAAATGTAAAACACAAATACTAAAAACTTACCTAAAGGGACCTTCATACCTGATTCCGAAAAGCCAGATATCCTAATATGCCGGAATCTGTAAACTGACGACTCGGCTAGAACTACTTTGACTATACGGGTAGACACAGTTTGCTGCATTCACCAAGCTAGAAACAACGAAAACTAGAGTACATCCCACATACTGTACATTCTACTTACTGAATTAAAACCAGCGGTTTACCGCCTCATCGTAACTGCAAGGTGTTCCTGGGTGTTGGACCACGAGGTACAGCGGGAGGATTCGTCCCCTGGCAGGGTCTCCCAAGCTGAGGAGGAGTCCAGCGTTTCCAGCATTAAGCCTAGCTAAGAGTAAACCAATACCAAGATCCACCACCGCCCTTGTATCAAACTAGTCGCATGGTGGCAAATCTCCCTCTGATCCACAAGGACGGCGACTGCCTGTGGTGATGACAACTTGAGTCAGACTTTGGCCTGGTTGACTTCGGAACTCCAGGGAATCACAATGGCCAAACTAGCAGAACTCCGGAAAATGGAGATTGTGTTGGGGCTCGCACAACCAGCGAGGCAGGGCCATCCAAATATCTAAGCAAGTAGGTGAATTAAAATCAAAGACCCATTTAAAACGTCCTTAAAAAAGACCTTGGACGTTAAATATTAATGGCTAGCACCATGGTACTGCAGTAAACTAACCTTAAAACCTTACAAATGCCCTTGTTTTTCGTTCATTTATTGTAACGATGAAAAGCTCCAGTGCGAACCGTTCCACTTGTGTTTAACTCGACGGTTCTAAATGCTTGAAAGATTTTAAAAACAAAAACCAAGCCATTGGATTTACTACAGCACTAGAAAATAGTCAGATTTGTAACAGGGCTAAGCTCTTCTTTAACTTTCGTTCTCACATACACGAAAACTGGTAATGGGACATCCACTTTTTTTGGTTTTACAACAAGTCAACGGCAACAATACCATTTCGACCAGTATTCAAACAGCCAAAGATCCGCAATGTAGACAGATGTACGCATTCAGATCAATGCAAAATAGTGAAGGAGAGGTTTCATCAAGAGGCGCAAGGAGAGCGCGATTTTGAAATTACTTGAGACTAGGAATCTCGCGGGTGGCGGACGAGTTGTCGCATTTATAACGGCCGTCTTTGACGAGTTGATTACCACCAACTTCTGACTAATTAGCTTTTAACCTTAGGCAGTAGATTCTTTTCTTGGAATTGTAATTCTCCTTACAACGGTTTATTTCTATCTATAGAGTAGTTCTTTAGTCGAATTTTAAGATCTTTAGTCATATGAGGTGTCTGTTCTTCCTCACACTAGGTTCCTAAGCCTTCGTTAGTGTCACGCGTTTACCTTAGGTTCTTGTCACATGCGCCTACTTAATTCTCTTAGGTTATGGCGTCCACGTCAAAGGAATCCTATGGAATCGCGTCCTATGCCATTAGTCGCCATCGTAAGAACAAAGTCTTTATGTGGCAAAGTCGAGTACAACACGGGCGAGTTTATGAGTTCCTACTTGCTTCACGGTTTAAGGTCCGTTGGGATGATCTTTGGTCTAGAAATTCCTTAACCTTTTCCCCTTACACTGTATGTTCTTAAGGTACCCGGTCTAGTGTCATGGAAATGTATGCATTGTATGCAAATTCGTGAGAAGATGAAAAGGCAGGTTTGTCGTCGTTTACCTCAATCGTAAGGCTTTCGTAAATTAAGGATGTACCATGGAAACTAAATTAGGTCTTAACATCGTTAATCCTTACTGCTCAAGGGAAAATCGTGTTCTGTTTCAGATGAAACCAGTTAAGGATCTGAAGATTCCTTTGGTTCTAATAGACAACGATGTTATAAGGGAGAACCCCGATAAGCCACTAAACGCCCAGCATTTCTGTAAGGTAACTGTTTTGGCTTAAGTTGTTTTCGTTACTGCGGCTTACATTTTATGTAATAGTACGTTTGATTTCTCTTATGGGGCAATGCAAGATGCACGAATTTGGATAGTAGATGTAACACAGTGGTTGGAAGCGCCCTGCAATATACATGGGATCGATTTCCGCGCCCCAGGCTCATCAAGCCTTCTATCTTTATAGAGTCGGTAGATTGGTACTAGACTTGTCTGTGAGGATAGCAACACCGGCTCGATACATTGGTGTATACCACGAGTCATTGTAAAGGGTAGATATGCATTCAGAGTCCTCCAACGATGCTTAATGAACTCGAATGCATGGCGCATTTCTCAGTTGTTGATCAATGCGGAGAGCTTTATCCTTTTATCATTTTATAGGGCAAGGATGTTGTTGACGCAGTCCTAAAACGGACGAAGCTTCAGTTCTATGAGGAGTGGGCCGCTAATGATGGTCCGCTCGAAGTTTCGATAGATCGTTTCTCGGATACTGTACTTGAAGCAGGTTTGCACACACGGGGAAGGTTATCAACTACTTAGAATTTTCCATCTGCTTTAGAGACCTTTTGCTAAGATGTTACGATTTTTCACAGTCACATTTCGAATAATGGCATTTATAGTTCCACTCGACCTTGACGCAGTTCAGAAGAAGCAGATGAAGCAATGCCTGGACGAAAAGTGTGAAAGGGTGATGAAAAAAGTTTTGCGAAAACGAAAACGAGAAGTACACAAAGATTATCCAAGTCAATCGGCAAGGATGGCGAAGGTATATTGCTGAAGGTTCATTATGAATGGGTGAATTTGAGTGTTTGATTCTTTAAAGCCTTTCAGAGTTTTCCGAGGACTTCCTTCATTGTTATTCAAAGTTTCAGAGAATGGAGTTAAGCAATGATTACTACGATGATGATGGTAATCTGTCTACGGAAGTGGTTGTGAGGTCCTATCCTCCAGCAGTTGGTGAGAATGAGTACATAGACGTCGGATGAAACACAAGATGATAGTAATCTCTCCGTGAAGTCAGTGTAGTTCTAGATTCGACTTTACGGTATATTATGGTGAAGTCGAGTTACGTCGTATTTTGTCGCCATTCTGTCGCTTCCGTTTTGTTCTGAATAAAGGACATTCCTGGATTCAAGGGTTCAAAGATCACAAAGCACCCTGTAGTCGCAAGCACACCTAGTTTTGCTCTATTCTGCTCCTTATTTCTCAAACAGCTGTTTTGAGCGTTAGCAGTGCGAATGCTCGAGTTTTCCTACTTGTGGTGCCGTCAGCTTTATTCTCGTTACGAAAGTTCTGTTAAATAACTGTGCTTATTGAGAGTGTTATGGTGTAGCACATTTATTCCGCAGTCCATTTAGAGTGAGCAAGAGTTTATTTTGAAAAAGAAAACCTTACACTTTAGGAATATACATTTATGGGTCTTAAGATCGATATAAAAGCAAGTTATGATTAAGAAAACTTGTATATCTGAGACATTGGTTGCCAACAATCTGAAGTTTGAACGCATCGTAATGATTCAGTGAGGAAAAATCCGGAATCGCACTGACGCTTCATCATATCACAGGAATTTTAGGAGTTCTGAAAAACCAGTTTTTCAACAACAGATTCATATTAGGGTTTATTCCTATTTTTTATTGGCAGGTTATGGTAAGGCATAACGTTTTTCCATGAACTAGTGAAAGGAAGTTGGTTTATTGGACCTATTATCGCAATTTGACCACCAGTGAGTGGAACATTCCAAACACTACTTGTTCTTGGGACTAGGGGAAACACGTTGTGGGAGCATGGATCCATAGCAGATGAACACGTACGCCTGGTATATCAAAGCAGTACAACCCCACATTCAGATCCATCCTCACAACAGACTTGTGGTTCTTGGGAGGTCGTGACATTACGAAACGTTACGCTCCTATCAAATGTTGTGATTATACAGTTTTCTTCTCGGCGTCAGAACGTTCCCGTTATGTCCATACGGAGGCGAGTTGTATATGTCCACATAAAATGTTGAACTAACTCCTGGTTATCAGGCTTCAGTACAGTTTCGTGGTTTTTTTGATGGGTAACGTTGGGAAATATGATGACAAAAAGACAACACAATGTGACGATCGGCTGAAATCGAGTAAATTTGTATTTAAAAGATCTGATTAGCTTCGTATCACAAGCACTTCGGATGAATCTCAAGATAAACCAACATAGATCAAGTACGGCATGACTAGGATAAAATTTAGCTCTTGATACATCACTTACAAAGCGGGTCGTTCAAATGCGTTAAGCCATGCGCAGGCTATATGAATAGAAGCGGACTTTACCCATAGCCCTTGTTATCTCGGATAGATAAGTAAAGTTGAGAGTGAAAGCCTATACTAGCTATTCTCTCAGTTAGTAGCATTCACAAGAAACTATTAAAAGCACTGCCTTTTTGGAAACTTGGGGAACTAGGGCAGTCGACGGAATTCTCGTTGCTATTTTCCGACCCCGTTATTTGATCGCTATTAGATTATAGACTAATTTTAAGAGGACCAGAAACAACTGTCTATATAATGAGTAAAACGTCTTTGCGGAACAACAACGTTTCCTGAGATGTTCTGGAAAAAAAAAGAACTATTGACGAAAGACCGAAATTCCAACCCAGTTCTACTTACTAACTCCAGATTATCGCAGCAACACAATCAAGAAATGTGTCTGAAAATTGGAAGGATTTTCGAATTTGGCTTGCTGTTGCATGCCAGAGCTACTATAGATCTGCTCCTTGTGATCATCTAACGTTTGTATAGCTTTAGCTGACAAAGTTGTTGTAGTTACGGGACGAAGATACTGACTTTTTCTATTTTTTCAACTTTCATTTTATACGACCTTCACATCTGCTGCGCGAATCCCTCCACCCCAGTTTCACACATTCGATTCGTTCCCTATCATCTATCGCCCACCAAGGTGCTTCAATGTTTACTTGTGGCATCGGCTACTGCTAGAGGATTTTTATATCATCTTGAATGTCGTAGAATGCGGGATAGGTCGACTCCCACAGGATTCCTGACATAGCCGTGCCAGAGCGTTCCCAATTGCATTGCAAAAAGTGATTTTCACGGACAAGTGCCATACCAATTCTCTGACCCCAGAACGATGAGAGACTCGGTGTGGCCTGGGTGAGTAGGGAGTTGGGAGGGAGCGCGAACCAGCACCGTTCTCGTAGTGACCGACATCACTACCACTATACTATCATCCCTAGTGTTGTAGTATAGTGTAGTATAGTCAGCATACCGACTATACAACTTATCTTAAGAAGCTAGCTAACTTCGAAATGTTTGGTATCTCTAACCGCTTGATGGTTTGATATTGGCAAGAATGATTTGTACACTCAGTTTATTTACTGGTGGATTTGGTAGTTTATTGAGATGCAATTAGTTCTAAAATTGCTAAAATGACATCTTAATATCGTCCACCCGAGCGGCTTAAAATAGCAAATAGAGCGATGAACTCACGGCCACAATTTCGAACGCATCTTCCTTTATCGTTTCGTAAGAAACCATCTTTACATCGACAGCCAGTGACGCATTGAAAAGTGCACGTTTGCTAAACGGCTGTTTCAACCGAAAGGATTTGTTGTTACTTTTTGAAAAAATAAAAAACTTACAGGATTCGGATCCCTGCAGCTAGGTTCGCAGGATGACCCGCAAAAATCAAACACTTCGTTTTGGCCACACTCGTTTGAAAGTGCTGTGATAAAATAACAAGTAACGTACTTCATTACCACTTAGGACTATAGTTTCATAGACGTGATAGACGACAATCATGTCCACGGAGAGACATATATGGAACGATGCGCATAGAGAGGTTTACGGGGCTTTATCGGTTTTCATCCTGTGCACAAATCAACTGAGAGTCTCATAAAAAGGGAAAATTTAGCTCCTCTACCAAGAACTGAGGCAGTTCTGTAATGAAAGTACTGTTGTAAAAACTTCGTCGATAAGACAAACATTAAATTCCGAAAACCGACTTCTTTTTAACCTCGGCATTACTCATTGAGTCACCCTTTTCTTGATAAGCATACGCGTGGTTGTTACTACCCTGCTTATTAATAGTAGCTAACATTTTGGGCGATTTTACTTTTTTCAAAACCTGGAAAGGTAAAGTTGACTGCAATTTAATTAATCAAATACATCCATAATCTCAACAAAAAACCCACGAAGCCTAGATTTCAACCGTACTGGGAAGAAAGTAGTTTCATGGGGCACTGCACGTCTTTTCTGAGTCTTCCAGGGAATATTCCATATGAGTATTATACAAAGCCCATACGAATGCGTAATGATCTTTTACCACGTTAGTATATCGCTTTGAGGAATTTTGTGAGATCATGTTTGGTAACTAGGCGTCCCTCTCTGGTGTTCGTTTTCGTTTTCCTGGAATTTATCCAAAAAGCTTCGAAAGTTTTGCGCGTTAGCGTTTTCGATTCCTATGCGAGGATCATAACCACTTCTTCAAAATCTTCCCCGTTATTTCCTGTGTCCTAGTGGAGTATCTGGCTTCACTTTAATTTTACCGACTAGATTTTCTTTTATACTGACGCACAGTGGTCTATCAGTTTCGCCAATATATTCGTTCCCGCATGCTTTGCAAGAGATCAAATAAGCCGTGCCTGAACTCACGCATTCATCATCTCTACCGTTATGGCAAATTATGCAATTTTGCATCATACATAGACAGTCATACAGGTGGCTACGAACTAGCTGGCTTGTTAGAGTGCTCGGTGGTATTTCAGTCACTGATTTCGATTTCCTTAGGACGTGACGTCTTCTTAAGCAACGTTTTTCGTTAGAATTATCTTTTATGGACGAGGTCTACATCTATCACGAGGAGCTATATTTTCGTAGTCAATGGAATGGCTAATTACTATGCGAATTTCACAGATTATTCTTTTTGCTCTTTTCCAGTGCATAAATTGGTGGCTGTTCAAAGCATGTTTCTTAAAAGCGGCCTTTCGATGTGTGACAGGTGCTAGGTGAGGTAATCAACCAGTATGCCTCTGCTATTTGACTTTCGCTACCAATTCGTGACGTAGTCGTTTTCGGATGGGCTAATTTGAGCGTTCAGAAAACGAAGCTAGCTTTTCTTTGGTTTCTCTTGGTTGGAATTTATGTACCCTGCCTATTCGTTCAATAACTTAAAAATTTGTCCATCTTTTCATGTTCTAAGTAGGTGAGTAAACATCTTTCGATGAACCAATTGTAGAGTAGTGGCCCGATACTCATCACGGGGCTTCAACTTTAGACACGAACGCAAACACTAGGCTTCGTGTCAGTCGCTGTTCCATTACCAACCCTCTTATTTGTGCTTGATTTATGGATTTTGATAAGTAAGTAGGGTTTCAAATCAGCTACTTTTGCCATTTTGACTCAATCGTTGTTCAGTTTTCGGGATTAGATGCGTCTTCAAGATTCTTTTTCGTTACTTCAACATCTAACTGATAGGGAATTACTATAAACTGCCCACCCTTATTACTAGTGGGCTTCTATTACTTCTGGGACAGATTTTCGTCAGACTGACTTCGGGACTCCAGGGAACCACAATGGCTTAACCAGGAAATCTCCGAAAAATTGAGACTATGCTGAGGTTCGCACAACCAGTCAAGACGGGCCGTTCAAGTATCAAGTATCTATTATTTTTAACCCCGCTAGTTCTTGAAACTCCTGAATCCCACATTCCTGCATTTTTGTGAATTTTTAGCGAAACGTCTTTGTACAGTAATGGTTGAAGATTTTGAATGTTCCGTCCTAAAAGTTCTTATAAAACTTTTGGTTTACTAATTGTTCTGCTGCTAATCTCCGTGTTTTTTTTTCTAAAGTCTGGTGTTTCTTCGAAGTTAGTTTATAATTTTTCCATGATTCTTAGCAATTCCAACATGGGGAAACAAGCTAATGAACGCGAAATTGTTTGCCTGCGTCAGAATATTTCACTACCGTCCTGGCTAGGTATAGGTTAGGCCCTTTGAAGATTTCTAGAGGCGTCGCTATTTCTTTCAGGGTTAACAAACTAAACCTGTTTTTCCATGGTATTATTTTTCTCATACGTTTTAGAGCGCAATATCTATGCTAACTCTCGAATGAGTACAAGAGATTTAACGCGGAAAAGCTTTGCGATGAAATAAACACTCAGGACAAAATGACTCATGTGTGATTCATGTTGGACGTCGTGTTAAAAATAAAATTTGCCGGAACACGAGCGATGACTTGCAGCCGTAATGAACCTGTATCTTTCTCACGTTTGCCAAATTCTAAGAAAAACTGCAATGACTAATTTTCGCTGAACGTCAAACAATGACGAAACGTCGTGGAAATTCGTCGAATTCCTTCAAGTGAGGTGTTTACAACCGCACGTCGAATGACCGATCTAGTCAGGAAGGCTTCAATCCGAAAATAGTCGTTGATGCCGGTCTTCATGGCTTTAAGCTTCTGAAGCAAATTCCTTGTTTATAAATAATATATTGCCTTTGTTTTGGCTGTTCTTCTGACATGTGGCCGATCTCTTAAACCACGATGAAGATGCACTGCTTTGAATGTCTTAACACTCTGGATGTAACGCAGAAGACTTGATTGACTAAAAAGACTATATTCCACAGTCTTGCTATTGATCCATTCAACGTCAATATGCACGGGGAATTCGTGAGTAACTACATAGTTCAATATGATAGTGCTAACGTAGACCAGTTCTACATATGAATTCATCATTGTAATCGCATCCATTTGCCAGAAGGTCATTAAGCAAATGAATTGCCGCAGTTGTAATTTACAGCAATCCCTCTGCCTATCAATGGAGTCAACAAAACCAAATGGTAGTGCTACAGATTTGTTCGACACCAGGTTAATATCACCAAAATAAAAGAGGCTATCAGCATCTACAGAGAATTTCCGTTCTCATAACGACCTGTCTAGACAAATAGGAAGACCACCTACGGTACTTCAATCCGGTTGGAAAGATCAGTTACGTAAGATGGAAGGAAATTTCCCACAAAAGTATTTTTAGTTGTTTCAAACTTGTGCCTTCTACATCAAGTGCTTGTGATTTTTGCCGCCATGGCAGTTTTTCCGCCCTTCCATTAGTCTTTTATGTATCCATTCAGCAGTTCCCAACATTGACTTGATAGGAACATTGGAAAAACCTACGATTAGCCACGCATTTCGGACCCGGCGCTGGACATGGTTGACGAGTACATGGTTCCGCTAACATTTCACAATGCGTTTCAGGCGGACATTTAACGCCAGAACAACTAGCTGGCTGGGCAAGTACGGCTGCAACCAATTAAAATTCGGATTCACTGGGAATTAAGAACACAGGTCTTTTCCAACCTATAATAAAATACAAAAACGTTAGCCTATGTTAGAAATGAAGGTACGAAAAGCTTACAATCATTCAAGCATATCGGACGTGGCGCCGGACATGGTTGGCGTGCGCATGGTTCTGTTGCTATCTCACAGTGTGTTCCAGGAGGACATCTCACGTTGAAACAGCTAGACGGTGAAATAGGCGCGCCTGCAAACGGTTGAAAATTCATGTTGGATGAAAAGTGGGAATAAATCTGTCTGTATTGACCATTCCCTGAAAGATTCGACATGCATTCGACCTCATCGGGATCGTGTGGGGTGAGTGATAGAGCGAATACTCGACCTATACGATGAATTGCGATAGTCTACCAAGGTATCAAATTAGCGATACTCTACTCCCAGACAATTTTGCTACCAATTTGTTAACCGGCGTGGATAGAAGATTAGGTGAGCACGAGACTAACCACCGAACGAAAAACAACGTGTGTATTTTAAAACACCTCTAACCACTGCGCTATACACACCCCATAATCGATACAAGGGCTAAAGTAAATAGTTAAGAATCCTAGCTACTTTTGTATCGCTTACATTGTCTTTTGTTTTTTGGTATCGTCAAGATTTGGCAAGAGCTGCCATTATTACTTAATGAAACGTAGTGATCCCACTTTGTGAGATAAAATGAGCACCCATTTTGTCTGCTTTCGCAGCATTGCAGTTGCATTAAACATCACCGCCTCTAAGCGGACTGAAATGAGAAATTGAACAATGAACTCACGAGGGCAGTTTCGAACGCACACTCCACTATCGTTCCTGAGGAAATTCTGCCTGCATCGACAACCGGGGACGCATTGAAGAGTGCAAACCTGCAAAACTGCTGTTTCAACCAAATTGATTTGCTGTGACTTTTTGAAAAACTCACTGGATGCGGATCTCGACAACTAGGTTGGCACCCTGCCCCGCAAGAATCAAAGACTTCGTTTTGGCCACATCGTTTTGGAGGAGCTGCGATAGAATAACAATTAAAGAGATTTTGATAAAATTTAGAAATGTCGTTTCCTTTCATGCACAGTGATAACGGTCATGTCTATGGAGATACAAGCATGAAAGGATATCCATAGCGACCTAAAAGTTTCCACTCTCTCCACAAATTGAATAAGAAGGCAATAAGAAGAACCAGATGCAATTTCTTTGCAAACAATTGAGGTGGATATCTAATGAAAATGCGGTTGTGAAATGTAAAGATGCCCTCAATAAGACAAACGTTAGCATATAGCGCCCCACAGCTAAGTTGGTTACACGCACACTATGACTTAGCTCGGAAACCTAAGAAGACGAAAAACAACCCGTCGCTCTTCATTCTGCCTCTTCACCCCATAATTGAACATTTCTGTGTGTAAATAATTTCTGCTTTTTACATCTTGAGCATACTTTCAGTTGTGATGCGCGTTTTTTTCGTGTTTTTGAAACAACTCCGACTTATCGCTGAGGTGGGAATTGAACGCGCTATTACCCTTCCCGTGGTAAGGCGAAAAGCGAAATGAAGCACTCGCGTGGTGTGGTGGTGAACGCGTTAGTCCCCGGAATCTGTAGTAGCATGTTCGATCCCCGCTGCAGATACCAACGCTTTGGGATTGCAAATAGCTTCATTATGGTTATAATTCATTATTCCGACTCTTCTGTTAAACGAAAAATACCTGCCCCACTGCCCAAACTCCTAGTGTTGTTAGGTGCAGGAAGTGCATGCGGAAGTTGTTACTATTCTTTGAAAGTACCTTCTGATCTTACTTTATCCAGATGATGGGATAATGGGGCTTAGTATATCTTCACTATTCAGTTTTGGTGATTAGACTGAATTTGCGGAATGAGTGTTTTATCTCAACATCCCATCTATTAAGAGCACTAAGTTGAGATATCAAGCAACAAACTCACGACGGCAGCTTCGGACGCATTCTCCCTTGTCGTTCCTGATGAAACCACGTCTACATCGACAACCGGAGACACATTGAAGAGTGCACACCTGTGAGCTGCTTTTTCAACCAAGGGAATTACTTGTTAGTTCTTAGAGGACTCACAGGATGCGGGTTCTGGCAACTAGGCTGGCAATGCGCCCGACAAAGATCAAATAGTTCGTTTCGACCACATCGCCCTAAAGAGAGAGAGCGACAAAAAATAGAAAATGAAAACATCAGCTTGAATAATTCCAGTTGTGTAATATTGACTTACTATTGTAGAACTGCGAAAAGACTACTGCGAAGGAGTAGAGGAAAAGCTGTAAAAAAAAGTCTTAGAAACAATTTTTGGACAAGTAAATATCGTACTCACTAGATGCAAAGCTATTTTGCCATGCATGTTCAATCACACAGAGAACAGGCTCCTAGGAAGTGAAACAGCTCAATCTGAAGACACAAGTGACTGGCAGCCTGTAGTGCTCTAGTTTTCTTGCTATGGGCGGGAAATTTCGTTTTACCGCGATCTGGTCGGCTATTTGCTGAATTCCACTTTTATATTGATGTTGTGATAATGTCATTACAAAGCAGTGCTAAAACAACTCAGCGAAAAGAAGACGCCTATGAGAAGTCATATCTATATGTTCTGTTCTGTAAGACATCTGCTGTAGAAAAGCTCTGCTCATAAAATTTGTAGAACCCTTACGTGTAATTTTTGAACATGTTTTCCTGAGAGTCACAGCTCTCAGAAGTGTGCCTTATTATAAAGGTTAAAAGGATAAAGCTCTCGACGTTGAGCAATTTCTGAGAGTTGCAACATGCATTGGACTTCATTACGCATCGTTGGAAGTGATTGAATGCATACTTAACCTTTACAATGACTCGCGGTGGCCTACCGATGTATCGAGACAGTGCTGCTATCCTCCCAGGTAAGCCCGGTACCAATTTAATCCGACACCGGAAAAATCGAAGGCTTGGTGAACCTTGGGCTCGGGGTTCGATCCTATGTGTATATTGCAGGACGCCTCTGACCAGTGCGCCACACGTGTCTTATTATAGTAAGGTTAAATAGAAAGTATTGTTCTCCGAACCATTTAGATGACATGGCCTAGACTGATGACATTTACAGTCCGTGAAATTCCTAACATACTGACTGCAAACACCTTGTGTTAACTTCACGATTCAAGTACAGTAGGAAAGCAGGTTTGAGTTGGGTGAATTAGCAAATTATTGCATGTGAGCGATTTTTAATGTTATATGGGCGATGTCGTTATAAGAATAATGGTGAAATAGGTGCCAGATGGAATCCTTCGTCCTCATGTTAATTTGTTATAACTTTCGCATATCTTAACTGGAGAAGTGTTTAGTTGGCTTTGCAACTGTATAGAATTTTTATTAGCAGTCGCGATTATTTTAGTCAGAACATCACACAGTATATACAGCGCCTTTTACCAATTAACCATCCCTATACAAATTTTCTCCTCCTTTCTTCTTCTCTACCAGAAAAGTCATTGTCTCTGTTCTCAATGATAAATAGATTCTTAATAGGGCGGATAGCGCAGTGGTAGTGATGTCAACCATGACAAGCATGGTGCTAGTTCGATTCCCTCCGGGGTTGGGAAAATGGCACCGTACTTGTCTGGGAAAAAAATCGCCCTCTGTAATCCATTTGGAGACACTCCAGCCCGCCTATCTTAGGACCTTAGGGAGAATTGCTCGACCAGTATTCTACCGCATTCAAGATGAAATAAAAATACTCAAGTAGTAACCGATGCCACACGTAAAGCTTGAAGAACTTCGTGGATAATGGATGCGAGGAAACGAATCGAATGTGAGAAGTGCTGGGATCCACACAGCAAACGTGAAGACGAATGGTATTTTAAAAAAGATTCTTAGTCCCCTAAAGAGTATTTAACAAGTCACTGCTCTACTTTGTAACCGAGGATTTGCCAAGTTCATTCAGAAATTTTGCCATGTTCTATCACTTTGCAGGTATTTCTGTTCGTCTTTGTTCTTGTGTTTCACGTCAACTGGCCGCTTTACAAATGTTGGCCTTGATTGGTTGCTTAACACCTATTTTTATTTGGAGTAACAACCTACTCACTTGTTTCTAAACGATTGATTTTCATCTGTCAACACGAGGCAGCGCATACGATGAATTTTACAATCACGAGAATTTTAACGAAATCGTCGACGTGATCGATCGAAAAAAAAGTTTAATGCTATCGCAAAAATAAACTCCGTACAACGGAGAGAGATATGAAAAAATCACGTGAGTTTTACATCATTAGTGAAGTACTTTCAAAGTGTGTCGAATTACAATTCGTCCACTGTGGTCCAATTTCGGTGGGCGGGGCGGAAGAATCCTAGATTGCGTTGACATCGTGGAAAACTGCACATTCGTGGACAACTCTGAACAACTAACTAAACGGTCAAAAGCATGAGACGAGTAACTTTTTATAATAACAGCTAATATGGTAAGGTCGAAAAAAAAGCTACCTAATTTGTAACAATTTTTTATGGATATTGAGAGCCTTTTGTAGATCACCTCGGCAAAGCCTATATGTCTAGTCCAGAGTCAATTACGAGGCTAGCCAGCGAAAAATGGCAGCAAAGCATCCCTGTGATCGAACAAATGCCTTACTTTACACAAATGTTGTAGGGCGCGTGCAGAGCAGTGGTCAGAGGTGCCCAGCAAAACACATGGGTTCGATCCTACACCGCAGGTTTACATTCCCATTTCGGTCGGCAAATTGTTGCCAGACCTCTCCGTAAAGATAGCAGCACTGACTCTACACATCGGTAAGACACCGCGAGCCATTGTATAGGACAGATGTGCATTCAATCACCTCGAACTATATTAGAAGAAATCAGATGCATAACGCAACTTTTGCTCAACGCCGAGAGCTTTATCCTTTATTGTGACATATTGTAGTGATGATCGCGCATGCAGAGCAGTGGTTGAACATTGAAACCACGATCCAAATAAGCTATCTCTTCGTTTCTGTGCCGTCAAAAAATATGTACATGTGCTCTCTAGTGGAATAAAACCACTGGTGAGATTCATCCTCGTGCACTCGTAAGCCTTTCAATCGAACTCTCCTCTATGATGCTACGAATGGAGTCGAATGCATTACTCATATATTTAGAAGTAATCGACTATGAAAACTTCATTATGGACAAAGGAGTAAACATTAACTTTGAGACGTTTTTTGATCTAGGTCGCAACCGGATTCAGAAGACAGACTCCTTTTCTCTCTTCCACCAGATTAACTTATATTTCTCGATTGGTGATGTTCCAGAATAACCACTGGTGTAGCTTTATGTAAATATTGACTATGCCTTTATGTAATCCGGATAAAATTCCACAGTGGAATGAATACGAAGTGAATAAACACCAGATCAGTTGTTTCTAGCAACCCATGCCAAGGACGGGTTGTGCGGCGGTGGTGGTGCCGTTCATCACTTATACAGTGGTGGGTCGACTCCGGACTAGGATTACCTAATTTTTGACCTTCCCAAAATTAGGAAAGTGGTGCCATACATGTCTGGGAACGGTTTATTAAGTAGAATCAAAGTGGGAGCACTGTAGCCAATTATCTTAGGACTCCAGGAAAAATTGACTCGAACAGCATTTATCGATATTAGTAAAGAACACAACAATCTTGAAACAGCAGTTGAATCCACATGATAAGGATTCGACGACCTTGGAAGATGGATGGAAGGGAGCGAACGAGTCGCATGCAAGAAGTGCTGAGATCCGCACGGTAAAGTAGATCTGAGGGCGGGCTATGTAAGAAAAACTCTTACGATTATTAGAGTACGAAATCTTTACGCATTATAAAGATGCTCATCAAAATTAACGCGAAGAAAAATTACCCCATAACTTATTTATTTTTGAAACTCTTCCGGAAAAATTCCATTTGTGATAAGCTGAAAATATTACATATGCCAACACTCGGCTTACCGAAATGGAAAAGGCATCGCCCGCTAAATGCTCTACAGAAGCCATTGAAAACGGGCAGTGGAAATCGCGTTGGCTGGGGCAGTTTCCCAGTCAAAAAAGCACGTTACAATAAAAGGATAAAGCTTTCGTCGTTGATTAAACTTTGAGGGA